TGAAAGCTTTTACTAAAATCTGTTATCACATTTGAACATAAAGAGAGGAAAAAGTCCAACCAACTCTAATGAAAAAAAATAAAATAAAATAAAAAATTACAGTTTATCCATGTCCTGAAAACGGCCAGAGCCAAAAACTGTTCAATTCTGATCTTTGGCCAGTCAACCAGTGCCTTACTAAAACAAAGACAATAATTAACTGTACCTTGACTCCTCAACTAAAGACAAATATGTGCTTACCAGAAACAACTGAGTGACTAAATGACACCAATATTCATTGATAATCATACACTGGGAATAAATTAATGATTTGGAAAAACCTGAGTTCTCAAGCAGCACTTTAAACAGTTTTGTTTTAAAATGCAAGTCGTGCACCGACTCCTGATTCAAATCATAATTATACGAAACCCAAATGAATCGTTCTTGTCAAAACTATTTTCAAACGCTCCAACAAAACCAACCTGATTTTAAAATGTTTATGCTGTAAAAGCAACCAGAGAGTCTCAACATGCTACCACTAAAAAGGTCTTCTTTAAAAAAAAAAAAAAAAAAAAGAGCCGATCTGATCCTCTCCCCTGGACAGCTGTCACATTACCAGTGATCAACAATGGTTCACCTCAGAACTCATCAATCAGAAAACCATTTAGCAAACCCATATTAAAAAAACAATAACATCTCAGCACATCATAAAGAAGCAAAAACGCATCTTTTAAAATTTCTGCTTGGAAATTGGAACAATCTGTGTTGTTATTGCAAGTTGCAGGTAATAATTGTCCAAAACATACAATTGTTTTGTGCACACCCTCATACACAGAGCTACTCCGGAAGACGTCCTGAGATTATAAATTATTAGACCAAATTTAAAACATTTGCAAAGTCTTGCATGAAAAACACTGTATGCACCGAAAGGAAAATTACATTACATTTTTATGGATTATGCAACTTGGTTCTCACCACTAACACACAGACTGACTGAACACATTTTTATTTATTTTTTTTTTACCTAGATGATTTATTTTCAAAAATCCTCATGTTACAGTGGCTCTGGAGGTTTGGATTAGATCATCCCAGAGATTATCTAAACAGCCAGGTAATCCTGGGCAAAAGTGGAACAAGCTCAGAGGACAGGACAGATGTATAATTAAGAGAATAAGTGTCTAAACTTTCCATCTTTCTAGTAATGTGACAGGAGCTGGACACTGTCCCGATGAGGTGAGGGTTGGATAGACGGAAAAAATGGATTAGTGGATGGACAAACAGGTAAGATGGTCAACAATTAGACAAATCCTTTCAGTGCACATCTTACAGTTTGGTCTCAAAGACAAAAATACACTTATCTATAAATCACTGACTGGCTCAGCACCAAAACACATTAAAGACCTGTTGTCGTCATGTCACGTTTCCAGAGATTCAAGTCTTCTGGTTCTGGTTCTGCTCTGCATCCCCAAGATCAGAACCAAACATGGAGAAGCAGCATTCAGCTTCTATGCTCCACGAATCTGAGACAAACTTCCGGAAAACTGCAAAACTACTGAAACACTTAGTTTCTCTAAATCGAGGCAAAAACACTCATTTGGTTGATGATGTTGCCTTAATAATAGATGGAACATCATTTATTTTAGTCTATTCCAACTTTCCCCCGTTATATCACTGCAGCGTAATGTTTTTGCTTGTTTGTCGAATGTTTTGTTTACATCTTGTAAAGCAATTTAAATTGCCTTGTTATTGAAAATCAACTTGCCTTGTGCATTTTATCTTTTCAAAGTGATTCAGACCAGAAAAACACCTAATGAAGTTCGAGACTGTAGAAACATAGTGTAAGTAACTTGGACTTTAAGCAAGAACTGACGAATGCTAGTAACTCTTTAAAAGCGGTGAAATAGCCCTTTCCTGAAGTAAACCATAAAGCAGATGCAAACCTTAGCCTAATCTTTACACAATGCAATCGTTTCATTGATAAAACCAGTTCCGATCAGGTAAAGTGGGCTTCAGGCAGGTGGTAAAGCTACTCACATTTCCTCAAACACTTCATCCACTGGCGCACAATGAGGCTGTGGTACTTCTTGTTGTCTATGCACCATGTTGCCAGTCCCTGGATGGAGTCCATCGTGTTGGTCAGACCTCTGAACCTCTTGTCCAGTGTGGCTTCCAAAGATCCTCCTGTTCCTGCTGCCATGTCCACAGAAGCCAATCTCTATCACTCCAACATTAACTTAGCTTGGGTTAGCACTTAGCTTAGCATGCTAGCTCAACCTTACACAAACAGCATCGCGTTCAAAAGCCGCTCGGCAGCCTCCCGCTGTAATTTCACACAAAATTAAAATTCGGCTTAGTTCTTTTTAATCCTCTCTTCCTGTTTAAAAGTTATCCAAAGTGAGATTCTTTCCCAGAGATAATTTGTCAAATCATTTAACACTTATGGTTAAAACTTAGCGCCTTGTGACATCCTGGTACACGGACAAACACTTCCGAAACACGCCATCTGTAGCGCCCCCTGGTGTATAGGAATGTAATATTAAATATGGAGCCCCACCTCCTGCGTTTTATTTATAACGCAGGACTTTTTTTTCTGCACCAAAATAGTACCATGTAAAATGTTTAAACCATGCCTAATGTCTTTACTTTTTTGCAATGGTGCAAAAATATATACATTTCAAAGTAGTTTTATACGCTTCACGTATAGATATGAGTTTGGAAAACGGACATCGCAACCAGTGTTTTTCTTCTGCTTCACGGGAAGAAGTGGGAAACACCTAAGGAGTTTCAGCAATAACTGCAACAAGGTATTGAGCGATGAAGAGACCAGGAAACAAAGGAACAGCCCACTCTTTTTATTTTTATTCATAGAAAAAGTTTAAGCCCATATAACACATTCCTTCAACTTCAAATATATTATTTTGTGTTGGTCTGTTACTGTAATGTGGAAAACGTCAGAGTGTGTAAAAAAATCTTGAAGGTGTTTTATTAAAAACTCCAAACCAGCAAATGGAGTTAATAAATCATTTCAGTCTTTTAATATCTAAAAATATTTTTCAAGCACTCACCAGTAAGGACAATAATATGATTTACAAGAAACAAAGAAATGGCCTCAACAAAAAAACAACTGGACCTTTTTAAAACGTACAACTGCAAAGAGAGAACTTTTGTCTTATTTCACAATTATAGTCACATATTACAGTTTAATAACAAAAACACAGAGTTTCATTGTACACATGTTGTTCTCTGCCTTGTGCTTACCGTTTCTACATGAAGTAACATTGAATTATCCAAAATAATGAAGCCTGAGAAACACCTGCACAAAAAGCACATCTGGTTTGCAGTGACATGTTTTCTTTAAATCATTTATAAAAAATTATGCACTTGATTGTTCTTTGTTGTATAATTTCCACTGTTATTTGTGTTTATATGCAAGGCTCTGACGATGACAAACCATCAGAGAAGTCATTCAACATGAATAAAACTTCACCAAAATGTTTTTAAAAGAGTAAAAATGATGAGTTCAGAAATGGAAATGGTTCAGTTCCTTTCATCTTTACCACATTTCTTATTGCACTTACAGTGTTGCCAATTTTATGAAATAATAGAGTGATAAATCCGTTAAAATGAGGCACAGAAGTTGGTTTCTACTTCCGCATCATGCTTGGTTTTAGTATATATTATGCTACTATTCTTCAAATGTTTCCCTGCAGAGTGACACGCGTTTATAATTCAAGTACCTCTGAGGTGCAACACAAACCAGTCGATGGAATTAAAAATATCAAGTAATGCTTTTATAAATAATCTCACAACTTTGTTGATGTTCACAGATGTGTAACATTTCCTCATTTTCATCCAAAGTGCAGATACACAAACTCAGATGCACACAGGCATAAATATTTTAAGTTGTTTGCTACAAATTTCCACTGCAACATATTACCAATAAAAGCAAAAGGTGGCAACTCATACGATAAATAGCACAATATGCAGAATCGAATTTAGCTGAGTATTTCTTTTCTTTTTTTGCTCATGTGTTTTTGCAGAAAAACCCTTTTCCTTTTCATATTAAGTGGAGAAGCAAAACTAAAATAAATAAAATATTTGTGACATCATTATAAGCCACTTACAATTTGAGAATGTAAAAATGTCTTTGTTTGGCACATCTTGGCAAAAGTTGCATGTCTTTCCTACATCATTTAGTTCCATCTGTAAAAACGCTGGACAGTGTGAGATAATGTAAGTCAGCAAGATGACAAAATCTACCAGAAAGTAACTTAATCGTAGCTGGAAGCAGAAAATGGGCAAAGAAAGATCCTTTTCAATTTTGGAGCATCTCCAAGTCACTTAAAGAAAACTCTATGTAAAATAGTCATAAATATCAGCTTTTGAAGGCGATGTGACTGAAGAGAGCTTGACTTCTTGTAAATGTAATATTAATACAGTAAAATTCTCTTAGAAATCCAAAGAAGCTGCAAATTGTTATTTTTTTTTACTTTTACAATTTGCCAGAAATCAGCAATGAGGCTACTACTACTGCAGGACAGAGTAAAAAATATTAACGGTATGTGACAAATGTTACCCCCTGTAAAATACTTTTTTTTTTTTTTAATCCTTTGCCATTACTTTTTGGGCTGCCTTAAAATATGTAAAAGTACAAAACAGTAAAAATCTGCTTTATTGCACAAGAAATATCAAATATTTCTAAGCTATTTTAACTCGGTTCTCCACAAAGCATCACCTTCCTACAAACAGCAGCTTCTAAAATAACAATAACAATAACAATAAAATCATTATTGGTATTATTTTCAGAATGCTGTGCTGCTATTTTTCAGGCTGTCATATATTATGAAAAAAATATAAAAACAGTAAAAACGGCTTTAACACACAAGAAATATAATAAAAAAATTCAAGCTCCTTCAACTTAGTTTAATAGAAAAACATTACCTTCCTGCAAACAACAACAACTCCTAATAAAAATAATATAACACGGCCACTTTAGGAAAAGAAACCCAGAGAGTCGGGGGTTAATAAGTATCTTCCTCCACCTCCTCTGGTTTAATGTGCCTTGCAGGCATGGCAGACTGGCTTCAAGCCAAACCTTATACTTATGTAATCGGGTCCGCCCTCCAGCTGAGATACCTCCATGTGATAGCAAGGTCAGCCTCAGCCAGTTAAGGTAAGTCAGTCGTAGGAACGATGTTGCTCGAAGACACCAAGCAGTCCTGCGTAGCTGGGCTGCGGCGCGAGGTGGGCAGAAATATCTCAGTGCGCTTCGGGTTCTCGCTTTCTCTCCTGCTACATATATAAGCCCTGCTTAAAGGGCCAGTCCTGTCTGTAAACCTTTGCCCTGCTGAGCAGTTATCCACTTCTGTGTCAGCAGTTTTCTCCTCTGCCGTGATCTGATTTTCTGGAGCTAGAGGAAGACATGTCGAAGCGGCGGCGGTGTCGGGTGAAGAGGCAGCGTGGCACCTCTCATGTTCTGTGTGGTTTTGCTTCGCCGGGAGTCTGTCGGCAACATCGGGGTCTGACCAGCTCAGCTTTCTCTTCTGCAGAGGAAAAAATAGAACCAAATGTTGCTACTGTTAAAAAAAAAAAAAAAGTCTTGGAGGAAATAACAAGCTTGAATTACAAAAACACTACATCACGGATAACAGATGTATGAACGGGGTATAGCTAAACATTACTTATTTCCCTTTAAAGGTGATCTCTGTTTAATAAACTGTCCTTAATTTAAAGAGACAAAAAAGTATACATACGCTATACATACGCCTTACACCTTTTCACTTTTTCAAGTTATAATCACAAACTTGAATGCATTTTGTTTTCTGTAATAGACCAACACAAAGTTTTGAATAACACACATGGTTTTGAAAATACAGAATACATGATTTTAGGCATACATCTGTATTTAGTCACCCACAGAATGATGCTGCCACCACCATGCAGCGATGGTGACTTTTATCATCTTTGAACCTTCTTCTATAGTCTCAGTTTTTTGCAGGTTTTCTTCCAAAATTACGCTTTATTTAGCTCCACCCATCTTCCCAATAACACCAAGAAGCTTTCCTGGCTGTGCAGAAAGGAACCCATTCTTGCAGCATGATACTGCCACCACCATGTTTCAGTATGAGGATGTGGTGTTTAGAGTGATGGATTGTGTTAATTCTCCTCTACACAAACATCTATTTTTTGCAACCTCACCATGCTTCTCCACAGCCTTATCATTGATCTGATTGTTGTTGGTCTTCATAATTCCCTAGAGTTATTTTAAAATAACATCTGGATTTATACTCGGATGAAATTACACACATGAAAGACATGAACTGAAATTTATTTCGTTACCAGAGAAAACCTGGGATGAACACAAACTTGCTGACATTTTTCCAATTTCATTGGTTTAAAAAACTGTTTATTATTTTGCATCTAGTGCACATTTATTCATTACTTTGTGTTGGTCAGTCACAGGCCTGTCAGGATGAGAAATTATTCCAATAATGATAATATTGTCATTTTTGAGACAATTGCTAACAGATGTAATGATAAAGACATTTCACCCACTTATAGGTGGATAAACTTTAATTTACAACATTCAAACCTCTAAGACATTTTAAATATTCAGAATAACCAAAAGAATAAATAAAATGGATTATGAAGTCTATGTATATAAAATTGCCCTTCAGACTATAATTATAATAAAGCTCAGACAGACAATACCACTAGTAAGGACTTTTGTAAAATAAAAAAAAAATTCAAAATGGCAGCTTTTCAATTATTTTAAAGAGCAGAATTAAGCAAACTACACAAACAAGAATGCAAATGGTAATTATTGCACTCATTTTAATTTCTCATGCAATTAATTGATTTATTGCTTATTGTGACAGACTTAGTCATTTGATTCTCACCTTGACCGGCATGTGGAGCTGATTTTTCCTCCGATGTAAAGCGAGTGAGGCAGAGCTGGTCTGCTTGGATTTGTCCTCGGACTTGAACGACCCCCGAGGAAACCACATTTTGAGCAGCATCTCTATCTGCAGCAGATTCTGGAGGTATTTCTCACTGCAACACAAATCAATGTCGAAACTATTAGTATTAGCAATAATTACATATTTGCTGGAGTTGTTTAATTTAGAAGCACTTTTTTTTTTTTTACCCCATTTCAGGTTTCTGCAGGATCCCAAGAATTCGCTGTAATCTGTCTATGGCAACACTCTGCTGAAAGCTGGTTAAGCCTATGAACATACATCAGAATGTCAGACAAGTTGGTTTATTACACAGTAATATTTGGTGTAATTAATCCACAAACCTTTGTCAAACCGTCCAGTCTGTAATCCCTGTAGGAGCTGCAGCAAAGGGCGGATAAACCTGTGCAAATCAGCACACTGAAAATACAGACAGACACATTTTGTTATGAAAATGAAACACTAGAAGGAGAAAGCTTGTTTTAGTGAAACTGTGCTCACTTTCTTAGCGAAGGTCAAGTCTCCTGGAGTTGATGACCTCAGTGCAGCCACTTCAGGAACCAAATGTTTGGCTTCATCCGGGTATAGTTCACATTGATCGCCATTAAACTTTGAGTGCAGCGAGCTTTTTAATACGCCGTCCCCTTCTCCCTCAGAGAAGATGTCTGCCTCGTCCTCAGTCTGTTCGCTTTCGCTGGGGGGGAAGCTTGAGGTGGAGGGAAGCGAGTCATAAGATGGCCATTTGGAAGATTTACCTAATGATTTCATCTGCGGAGACATACAGAGTTAGTGCATGACTGTTATTGTTATTGTTGTATAAATGATCTGCACTGAAACTTATTTCACTCCTAAAAACTGCAGGAAAAATGCAAAGTATTTCAAATACTGACAGGAACATATTTTTTAATACACGTCACTTTTTGCTTTCAGTGAAAAAGTGTCCATAGAAAAGAAAGAAAAAGCAAGTCGCCATAAAAGTGTCCGAGTCTGTTGTGGCATACACTCCAGTTCACTCCTTAAAAGTTACGATAAACAATCATAACTGAAAATGTCACCAGTCAAAGAGGAAAGGACGTCATATTTTGGGGAAACATGAAAACGTACATCAGGGTTTACACCAGCCTGGCGGGCCACCAGGCTTTACTTGCATTCCCTCCAGGCTACGCATTGTTTATTTATTTCTTTTAAGGTTTTTTTATGTTTCCCCTTTTTGAGACTTTATAGTTGATGAACATTGAACTGCAAACATACCATAACTTCAATATCACTGAAAGAAAACAACTGCTGTAAATGCTAGCTATTATTTAAGCACAATGAATTCAGGATCTCTGTACTTGTAATTTAAGCATTGACACTTGCTATTGAGTGCAGCATAAGAAGTTTTAAAAGATGAAGAGGCAATAAGGTGGTAAAGTCATAAAGAAACTACCACTAAGTTGGCCAGAAGAAATACTTTCAATAAATCCTTGTTAAGATGTAAATAAGGATTTTGGTCACAACTAGCTGGAAAAACAACTCATAATCTAAAGTTGACCATATATTCAAAGCAGAAAGACATTTACATTGTTTATTTATTTATATTTCAGAGTTAATCGCATAATGGTTGTTTTTCTACTTAATCAATCTATATTCTTCAATAAATGGCACAAATTTCCACACTGCCATGTGCATATTAAAACCAATATCGGTATACCAATTGTACAGACCTGTGACTAATGTCTGGCTCGTGTTTGAGCAACCATAACGTAATGAAGATAAGTGATCAATTTTGACAGTTTATTACACCGGGACACAGCAAAAAGAACACCTGTACCACAGGGGAATAAACTCATAAAGTGCCAGAAACGTCAGCATAAAGACACATAAAAGATACTTTCTGTTCTACTATAAAGAGATTTAAACTTTCTCTGTGTTATTCTTATGAGAGAGGATGGGAAAAAAAAGAGACTGCATTTTGTCAATTTTGATTTTATTAGGAGTATTGTTTTGACAAATTATTAAACCTTTTCTCGTCAGAAAAAGAACATTTGTTATTTTACAAATTTCTATAGAATATGAATTTTTTAAACTATTTGAAATTAAGACAAAATTACCTGGAAGAACCTCTCTTTAGCCTTGCCATTGGTCTGTATCTGTAATTGTTTGTTGCCATTTGCTTTGCATAATTTGCTAAAAACTAAACTATTACAACAGTCACCTAAAAAAACATAGTTTTTTAATTTAGAACAGAAAACTACCACTTTTTTTATTCTGCCAGACTCCAATATCATACAGTTTATTTCTTTTGTTTTTATTTTGAGTTCAGCAAAACACCGATATAGGTAACCAAGATATAATTTGGTGCATAACGGGGAACTATCTTGTAATTCATTTTCTGTTGGGAACATGTAGCACATTTTTCTCCATTCATGGTCCGACTTTGTCAAAGGTTGAGAAAAAAAGTTTGCATAATTTTGTATGCACTATGGCTAAAGACAATTGAATAGGCTAAAGTTGGAAGCACAAAGTAATTTGCCAAACGAATATCAGTATCGTCTGGTAATGCGAGCAAATATTGGAATTGGCCCATTTTCCCATTATCACCTCTGATCAGTGATCAGCAGGTCAGACACTAAAAATAGTGGTCTTCCCCCCACACTCCTAGTTCTGATTCAAGAACATTTTCGTTCTTGAATCAGAACTTTTTAATTGAATCAGAACTAAAAAGTTACAAAACTCACATAAATGTTTATACATATGCAGAAGAGAAAGAAATATTGTAAAAGCCTTTCAGTAATAAACAGTAGGCTCAACAAGCACTTGTTAAGTCAAAGTGGGGGACTGACTGTATAGGAACGGACAACACCTAACCCTTGGTTTCTATGATTACCAAAATAAATTTGCAATTCACAAAAAACTACACCAAAGGTATTCCACACATATACAATATACCTATGAACAATTTCACACACAAAAAAACAAACTAGAATGTGTCAACATTGACTGACGAATGTTGTATATGTGCACATGGAGGAACTGTCATTAGGAAAATCATGAATAAAAATATGGGACTGACTTTGTATTGTAAAATATAACAAAAATGGAAAGACGGATTGTCCGTCATTGTCCGTCCAATCTTGTGGACGGACAATGAAACAAGTTTACATAATGGAATAAAATCTGCAGCTGAAAATTGATTTCTTCATTGGAGATGGAGGATAACCCCTCAGAACCGTATTTTTATTTGGTAGGTGTCGTGTCAGAAATTGTTTTCTTTCTAGTTACTATACATTATTTTTGCGGTACGAAGTTTAAAATGGGGGGGAAACTGTTATACAAGAGTCACAAGGGGGTGCCTAAAAAGTTCACAACAAGCCTGGAAATAAATCATTTGAGACACGCACACTCTTATACAACACTTCTCTGCTCGTATAAAACCTATGTCCTCATCTGTTAATGAATTTCCCCACATTTTCAATCCAGTCAAGTTAATAGAGAACAGTTTAACCCATTTTTTTCTTTAAGAATGAACCACTAATGTTTAAATATATGACTGTTTTAAGCACGCTTTTCCTATACTGCTTCTCCGCCTCCAAATATATATCTGTGGACGTCAAATAATCAGACGTGCAAAGACGTAGAGAGAATAGTTCTTACCTTTCTGCTAGAAGAATCCAGAAACTAACTTTGCAAAACTCTACTTTCAGAAACTGTTCCCCACAAGCGGAGGGAACTTGAGCACAGAGGTAGCGGTGAATAAGCTCAGCTGTGAATCCCGTCTTGTTCTCTGGTTCAGCTTCGGCTCCTCCCTGTTCCTCCAGTCGACTGTGTCTCGCTTTTCCCCCACCCACTCCACGGATATCTCTGTACAAACAGTACTAGAACGGAGAAGCTCAACGGCCGCCGCACGTGCGCCAAAGGGTACGGCGCTGCGATTGGACGAGAAACGAGAGCGCTCTCATTGGACGGAAGCCTCAACCAATCGGCGCTATCCTTAGTTTCGGGTTGGTCTGCACACGCGGTGACACCGCCTCACCTCCGAGAGCTGCACGTGTGAGTGTTGTGGCTCGTTGAAGAGGGGAGCTGCACGCGGCTGCTGCTGGCAAGTGTTGAAAATTTTAGCTTTTCATAACAGGGTCACATTTGGCCTCTTCCAATGGATACAAGGCAACAAATGAATAAGAGAAACAGCAGGTCACGTTTACAGTGTATTTATTCAGAGACACTCCATTAAATCACCCTTTTTTATCAGCTAGTCACATTATCCAGTAAGTCTCCAATTGTGGTAAATATGTAGACTGAAGACAGCAACGTGACTTAAATAGCACTGTGAAAGAAAAAGGCTATACATCTATGATTTCACTTTTTTTTTCTCGTTTACAGGTCAATAGACACTGCATGGTATAAATTGTCTTCCTTGGATTGAAGCTTTAACTTTAATCATTCATTATCCCCAAGTATTTAATCATAAATGTGAGCTTCACTGTAAAATATTTTGAAAATGTAATGAAAGTTTCTGGGATTTGGGATTCACGTCACAACCAAGTTAACTTGGTGTACTGGTTTGTTTTGACCCTGGAACATTTTTGGTGCTTTGCTGTTTCAGTCCTTTCGTTGCTATTTTGGGAGAGGGGGTCAAAGTCAAAGTCTGGACCTGAATCCATGTGAGATGCTGTGGCCTGACCTGCAAATAAGTTGTTCATGCCCAAAAAATCTTCAGCGTAACTGAATTAAAACAATTCTGCAAAAATAGACGGAGTCAAAATTCCTCCACACTGGTATAAAAGGCTCATTACCAGTTGTTGCAGGCATTTGATGGGAGTTGCTGCTTCCACCTGTTGCATAACCAGTTATTACCTTCAGAGAAACAACTACCTCCACACATTTAAGCTTGTCTTTTTTGGATGGCTTTTGTAAAAATTTATTTTGTGTTTGTTCGAGTTTATCTTCACCTTATATTGAACAATATTAGGTGATCTGAAGCACTAAAGTGAAGTGAAATCTTTATGGGGAAAGAGGACGTTTTCACAGCACTGTATGAAATAAACAATGCCAATTTAAGCATTTTATTTCTATAAAGTTGTCATTACTAAATTTCACAAAATTGGGATACATATTTGCAGACCGTTTGAAGTTTCCATAGAGAGGGCTCTAAATTAAGTCCAGCAGAATTACATAATAGCACATAGACTGGAGGAGTGAATCACTTCTTCAGTGCACATGAGATACTCAAAAGAAAGGATGTGAAAAAACTATGGAGAATAAAAAAAAATTCTTCTAATCAGAATGATAATTATTAAACGGTAAAGTCAATATGACAGAATAAAAGGAAAAGGCACTGCTGCTAAAATTCTGGGTGTGAAAGAGAAAGTTCAAACATGGCTAACTTTTTTAAACAGTAGCATTCAATCGTACGCATATCACCTGAAAGATCAGAGAACCAGAGTTTCCTGTTAGACCGTACAGTAGAGGCTCAGGTGCAGATCAGCAGTGTACCTTTTTATGGCTTTTTGTTGCAACAGGCTTGACAAGTGTTTTGATATTTGCGCAGGAACACTTTGTTCAGGATTTTTTTTTTTCCTTTTTGATTGCGACACAGCAGATATTGTAACCATGCAAACACACACAGTCACAGCAACCTGCTGATAAAGAACCCAGGGAAGCAGTACAGTACGGCCATTACCAAAGGTTCTATCTGCAGACAGAGCCTCAGTGTACTGAGGGAATAAACCTCCTGATTTGTTGGAATCTGTCTGAATTTCTGAGCACTTATCACAGAAACGATCTTACACTGTACATGCTGTCTAATCTACAGATAAGTGATGACAGCCCAAGTTTTCACCTTTACCTCAGTTGGCATTCGTCCCTGCACATGCTTGTGTGCAGGTTGTAACATAGCCAGCAAAAACATTTACATATTTCTCAGTAATAATGCTGTCAATACATAAGCAACTCAGCAACATAATTGAAATAACTTTAACTTGTTAATGTGTTTAATTTTAAAATAAATTTTAACCATCAAAGAGGTCAGACATGATCTTAGTTTCTGTGAGTCATCGTTTCTTTGAACTTTGTCACACATGTTTGCGGAGAATACAAAATTGAAAGTTACATTTCTGTCTGAACAGGAGCGGAACTTTTGAACTGATTGTCTTTGTCAGCTGCCTGAAAGAAAGAAAAAAAAACTGTCAAGTTACTTGCTTTGTTCCAGTAATAAGGACTCAAATCCACTACAGTTCCCATTTCATGTCTTCATTTTCCAATTTTCTCAAAGTAAGGCAAGGTACTCTGTGATTTGCCATTTGTTTGTCCAAAAAATATCTGCCTCTGAAAAAGAACAGAACAGTTTCAACTCCTCATCTCCATTAAATGCAGTAAGTATGGAAAACAAAATGTGCAATGGCCGTTCATTAGGCTGTACTTGACAAAGAACATAATCAAAAAAATTCAGAAGAAGAAAGAAAACAAAGACATTTTCTCCTTGAACTTCATTTATCTCTGGTAATTGCACATTGTAAAACCTTGTAATTGTCTTGTAACTTAAGCATTCTGCAAGAATTAAGTGTATTTTTGTTTTGTTTTGTTTTTTAAAATCTACATAGACTTTTATTTTTTTTTGTTAAAGACAAAAAAATATTGTAATAATTGTGAGCTGAAAGAAAAAATTCTCAAAACATGTGTGGGTTATGTCTGTTATGTCAGAGAGCACCTGTGAGAAAACATTTTCAAGTCTTGCCACAGAATCCTAACTGGATTTAGGTGTGGACTTTGACTGGACCATCCTAAAACAGGGATATGTTTTGATCCAAGTCATTCTATTATGATTAGGATCACTATGCTGCTGGAGACACACCATTTAATATTACACTATTACATCAGACCAATAAGAAAATGAGGGCTTAATAGAAATATATATATTTATTACTTGTTATGAGGTTCTTACTTTCAAAAAGTACTTTCAATCTGACAGAGGCCTCATAAGAACACATTGTAATTCATGGACTATGACTATAATTTATTTAAAGACTCCAGTTCCAACAAGTACACTGTATTCTGACAATCTATCATGCTAGCAAGTAACTGCCAACAGGTTGTAGGAGTTATATTTCATAAAAATCAATTAGCATCCAGCTCAAATAATGTGGAGCATTTCATTCAAGCTTCCTTGTTAAACTAGGAACAAGCAACGGCAAAATCTCTGTTCAAAGTCAGTTTCATGTCAGTTATAAAAATGTATTCCACTTAAATTGTTTCTCACTGTCATGAGAACACAACAGGCATTATATTGCATTTTCAAAATTATTGGCCTTTTGGTAAATATGTATAAAAAGATTTAAACTAATTGATCTCGGTTGTAACAGCGGCAGTCCAGCTTTAATTTGAGCACATTTATTGTTCCAGATGTGGAGCCAAGATGTGGAGCCAACAGCTCCACATCTGGGCAACAGAGGCGATGTTCCACAGTAACTTACCCTGTGACATGTAATCGCAGCTGTGAGATCAGACAAAAGTTCAAATTGTTCCACTGTAACAACGCTGACATTCAGAAGATATTAAATCGTAAAATGTTTTCTCAAATCTGATTAAAAGTTAGCATTTTATATGTAAAGGGAAGACTGTTGCAAGCAAAATGCTTCAGCAAATGTAAGTTTCAGGCAGTTTGTAGTCATTTATTCATTTTTATGATTACATTCCTTAGATTAACTTGAGTTCACAGACTACAGGACTTGGCATACAAATTCAAAATCCATAAAATTGTAGCCTATATATTTAAGGGAAGACATGTATTTCAGGTTGATCCTTTTTTTTTTTCTTTTTTTTTTAAAACTTAAGCAAAACTTTAAGTGACTGGTCTGGAAGCATGAATGTAATCAACAAGGCTGTTTTTTGTTTGCTTTTAGCAGCAACTAAAAATTATAAACCTAAACTTCTTATAATTGACATAAATTCTTTAAAAACAAGTGTCAAGAGATCTCAGATACAGTTATTTTATTAACACAACTTTAGATGACAGATGAACAAAATGAAAGGAGACAAGAAAGTATCACATCTAGGTGGTCTTCCTGTGGCTGCAGGGGAGAAAACAACCACAACGTGGTAACACCAGAGATTACTGAGTGTGGATAAATGTTCATCTTTCACAGCTTGGATGAAACAAGAAAGTTGCAGAAAACCATCAGCCTTTTTGTTTTTTCCAAATGAATGAACATCTAAAAATGTTCTTCAATTTGCTTTTGTCCATTCCCATCAGATGTAACACATAGCTAGTGTCGTCCTTCTTCAACACATTCAATCTCCCTAGCAACCGAGCCAGGGATCCTCTCTGTTTGTCCTGGAGACAAAAGCAATCTTTCGTGCCATTTCCGTGTGGTAAATGCGCCTGCAGTTCTCAAAGTTTTTCCGCTGTCGCTCTCGGCAGGGCTTCTCGAAGTAGCGTTTGCGCTTCACCGCGTCAATGATCCCATCCTGGGTTAGGATTCTGGCGGATGTCGAGAAAAAAAAAAAAAGGGTGAAAAGCTAAGTGAGGAAACACCAAATTAAAAGCAAGGAGCTCTGGAAAGAGATACTGTCAGTTTCCAGTTTCTGTATTTCACAACAATCCCAGGTGGCATAGTTCTCCTCCATGAAACAAATCTCTTTAAAATAAATCTGACTTAAACATTTTAATTTATACTATACTTACTCAGACATTTTGGAAACAAGAATGGTGGTTGAAAATCTGTTATGTGGGTGGGCCTGTTTTCCCTCTCAAATAAGCTTTTATTACATGCAGAACAGATTGCTAGTCTTCATGAAAATCCTGGCAAAACTACAGCAAAATGTAAATGTCTTTGCATTTATAAATTATTTTTAAGGTGCTACTGATATTTGAGATCAATATTTTTTCCTAATCAGAATCATCAG